CTGTGAATTTGTTTGTTTTCCTGGAGGAGGTGCCCCTCTGGCTGGTCTGGAGCAGGGAAGGAAGCAGATATGAATTCTTTTGGAGAAAATGGTGGGGCAGAGTACTGTGTCCCTCCTTGTCCTTCACCCCTGGGGGATCAGGAAGGTAGGGGGCAGGGAGGCTGAGATGGTATGGAGATCCCATCCCCAGCCAATACAGTGGCCAGGATGGGTATGGAAGGCTTGGCTGGCAGGGAGCGGGTCCCCAGCTGTGGCTGGGAAACGTTTCCTGTCTCTTTGCCAATGGGGTCATTAATAATCATTTACCCGCCACGGGCAGCACAGAGGCCAGCCAGCGAGCAGCATGCTGCTGGGGCTGGAAGCTGGCCTGGTAGCCGGCTGCTCCTGCCACCTCACTGCTAGACCTAAGCCGGTCACTTGACCGCTCTCGTACTCTAGAATGCTAGTCAAAGGAGGGTCTGGTGAGGATGAGTCTCACTCTGGCTCTCACCTTCCCTCAAAACTCACTGCTCCTGTGGGTTCCCAAGACCTCAACTCTTTACAGGAGTAGAAAGCCTCATCTTTCCCCCAAGAAGCAGCTGGTGGTTTCAAACTGTTAGCCTTAGATGGTGGCAAGGGGGCTGGCAACCCAACAGGGAGTTATGGACATCTGACTATAGGTGTGAGCATCTGGGCTATGCCAAGCCTTGGGCACAGGAGGTGGAGAGTGAGGAGTCCTGAGCTCAACTTCGGAAGAGCTCAAATTCTGGAGCCAGACCCCAATACTCTGAAACCAGCTATATATACACCAGGGTATAGCCATAGAGAACAGAGGGTCGTCTGCCCAGGGCCCGAGAGGCGACAGTGTGGTAGGCCAGAAAGACAGAAGCTGGGGGCTCCATGTGGCCTGCAGGTCACCACTACCATCCCAGCACTTCAAACTCTGCCTACCTGGTATCAACACACACACACACACACACACACACACACACACACACACACAGACCCCAAACCCATGGCCGCCCACTCACTTCCTACTCATAACTCCCCTGTAGGGCAGTAGAATGCCCGTGAAGCCCCCAGATCATGAATCTGGGCAGAAGCACCCTGCCATAGTGAAGGGAGTGGGCTCCACCGTAGACCCTTCACTAAGCAGCCCAGCGCTTTAGCTACCATGCAGCAGGGCTTTTACCCATTAGATCAGGAATGCTTTTAAACAGTTCAAAGCCCCCACCCACCCACCCCAAGGGGGACGAACAACAGAAAGGTGGGTGAAAGGAGACAGTGGATGGTGTAAGATATGAAAATAACAATAATTTATCATTTGCCAAGGGTTCACAAGGGTGGGAGGGAGGGAGGGGAAAAAAGCTGACACAAGGGCTCAAGTAAAAAGAAAATGCTTTGAAAAGGGCGTTGGCAACATATGCATAAATGTGATTGATACAATGGATGTATGGATTGTTCTAAGAGCTGTGAGAGCCCCTAATAAAGTGATATAAAAAAATGCAATAAACAACTCAATGAGTCAACTTGTTGAGTGAGACATTTGTGAAAGGACTTTGGAATTTGGAAAGAGTTTCCCAAAAGATGCTGGATAATGATGAAGTTGGCGACGAGGATGGTGATAATTCCGGCCCGAAACAATGGGAGGGCTGGAGACCCAGAGAGGATGACCCCCAACCAGACATCATTGCTTGGGGAAGAGACAGCAGCCTTCAAGATCCCTTTTTCCAGTTGGGCCAAAATCTTCCTCAGCCCTCGCCCCCAAGTCCATGCCCACCAGCCATCCCCTTCAAGGCCCAACTCGATCCCACTCACTGTGGAGAACCTTCAGGAGCGGAACGCTGGCACTAGGTGCCCCAGCCCAGACCGCTGATTGATTCTGCTCCTCTGCCTCCCATCCAGCTGTAAGGATTCCTGCATCTATTTTACACTAGACTCTCAAATACCTTCTGGAAGGCTGCCCAGGAAGGTTTCCTGTAACTCCCTTTGGAGGGTATGCACTGTATCCTCCTACAGAGTGGGCCCTTCCCCAAGGGGTGACCCTGTGTCCTCTTTCAGGGACGGTCTCTGTGCCGACAGGGACTAACTTCTCTCCCCTGAACAGGGACCTGCAGATTAGAGCTAGACGGGGGCCTTCCTGTTTGTCTCTCAGCCCAGAGACCTTCTGCCTCACACGGAGACGGGAAGAGGAGAGGTGAGCAGGAAGAAAGCGGGTGCTTATCTGCATATTGCACCCCTGAGATGATGCAAGCCAGGAAGGGGACTGGGTCACGGAGGCCTCATGGTTGGCAAACTTGCCTAAACTCCAAGCGCAGCCCAAGTGGCTCCAAGAGGTGCCACCAAGGATACCACCTAAGCCTTGCTGCCTGCTCCGGGACCCCTCCCCTATGGGGAGCACTGTGAGGTGGCAGTAAACAGAGTGTCCTTGTCACCATGTGCATCCTCCCCACACCCCAAGCCTCGGCCCAAAACATTGAGGCCAGCTGAGGAAACGAACAAAGGTTCCCGGACCGAGACATCGCCTGCCGCCCGCCCGTCCAGCGCCTGCTCAGCCGGAAACCCAAGACAAAGGCCTTGGTCCAGGCGAGGATGAAGGGTAAAGGGTAGGGGCAGCCCAGGAGGCTGGGGGGAGGGGGGACCAGGGAGAACATCACTGGACTTCTCTGGGGACCAAACTGGGAGGGAAGCAAGGGTAGCAGCCCGGCCTTCCCTGAGCGTACATGCACGTACACACACACACACACACACACACACACTCACACCACTCCACAGACATGCACGGGAAACCAGCTTTATCCCATATACCCCAAACATGACAGAGTTCATCTTACCTCACACACTTTACCCACACACTCCCATATCCCTCCGCACAGTCCACAGCCCTCCATACCACCTGATACCCTTACCCTCAACCCCGCCCCACACACACGTCTCAACACACACACAAGCATGGTTCACATGGAAAAAAACATCACATAATCCACACCTTGCAGCAAAAAGTCACACACCCACCCTTCTCCTCCTCACACTCACCTCCCCAGCCACAGACATATGCATCCGATTAAATTCAACACACATGCCACGCAGACAGAGAGACTCGTGCAGATACACCCTGCATAGACAATGTGCACACCTCACGTCCCACCAAAATGCCACACGATTGTGGGCACACGCCACCACTCGGATGGACAACCCTGCCTACCACTGCCTCCCTGCCACACACACAGATGCACCTGTCTTTGGTGAGTCGCCTTGGGCCTGGCCCCTTTCTTGCCCAGAGTCCCCCCCACAGACACTTCACACCCACACAGCCAGCCCAGGTGGCAACGCAGTGCCCTCGCCCAGCTACCCAGGCTGTAAGCACACCTGGGCACACACAACTCAACCCCTCCCCTCTGCCAAGACCTCCAAGACACCCACTAGCCCAAGAGTGGCTCTTCCTGGCTATACATGCTAGCAAGTAACATGGGCAAACACACACACTATCCGGCATGCAAGCTATCCCCAACAGGCATCCAGTCACACACACAAGTTCTTGACTCACACATACAGCTACCACCCAACATGCACAGTGCTGTCTCCCTAGCCACAAGCGGTGTGTACAGTGCCAACCACTCACACTAATCCCCCCAGATAATCCCCACCTGTGCTGACATACCCAACCACACACGACACAACCTACAGAATCACATGCAGGGCACACTCAACACCTGTAGCCCATCCAACACACACACACACACACACACACACACACACACACACACACTCACCCAGCCTGGGACACTGCCTGCCCACCACAGGTGACTGACGTCAGGTCACAGACCACTCCTCCCCTCCCCCAAACCAAGTCCCCAGCTGTCCCCCAGTCAAGACCACAGCGGAGGGAGATGGTGGGTTTGGTAATCATGAACCCTAGGATGGGCACCCTGTGAATCTCTCACACCTCGGATCCTGGGTACTGCCCAAGGGCAGCACATTTCATGTTTAACACCTCCCACCTGAGCCCACTCCATGCCTAGTCTGAAGACACCAGGCGGACAGAGGTGTTGGAGGTCAAAAGCCTGGCTGTCCAAGCCTGCCCCTCCCCCCCTCCAAGAGCAGAGGCAGCTATCAGGGAATGGGTGAGCACAGGGGGAGAACAGAACAGAGATAGAAAGCTAGAGAAATTTGGAAGAGAGACTGAGAGACAGAAAGGGTGGTAGTGTTGGTAGATGGAGCAAGAGACAGGGAGGCGCTCAGGGGAAAACAGAAGGGAGAGCGCTGGCGAGCCCAGGAAGACTTGGGATCAATCGGAGGAGAAATCCAGACACGAAAGTGGGCTCATCACACCCAGGGAGAAATACAAGAGGGGCTGAGCCCTGAGGGGAGATGTTAGGGAGACGCTTAGTCAGAGACCAGAGAAGGGAAAGGCGAACAGAGAGAGGAGGGAGTGGGGAGAGAGGAGGCTTATCGCATGCTGGGAACAGAGAACCCATGAAGCTCCGAGGGTTTTGACCCTCTATTGGGAGACCTGGGTGAGGACCGCATGTGCTGATATTTGATGGGGTGGGTCTCAGTAGATGATGTGGCTGAGGCTGGGGGATGGGGGTTCAGGGGCTTGGGGCAACCGCACAACTCTGATGTGGGGTCCCTATTGCGGACTAAGGTTTCAAGTATTCTGGATTGCCCTGAGCCCAATACAGATAGTGGGGTTCAGGGCTTTGGTCGGGGTCCGGTCACTACTGGTGGGGGAGGGGGTTCCAGGCTTTAACGGTGTAGATGGGAAGTTCTGTGGCTAGAGCGGGGTCTTCACTATTCGATGGGAGTTCAGTGTCTGGAATGGGGTCTTCATGATGAGTTAGGGAGTCAAGGGCTCTGGGTGTGAGCGGCAGTCCCAGGACAAGAGTGGGGCCCGGAACTAGGGAAGGGCTCCCCTCCCTGCGGCGGTTTCAGGGGCGTTCGCGTCCCGGGCTGTAGGGAGGCCCGGCGCTCGCCCGACACCCCGCTCCTCGTGCCCAGCGCGGGGGGGCCCCCCCTACCTGCAGGCTGTCGGCGCATGGCTGCGGCGGCGGCTCGTCCGGCTTGAGGAAGACCTGCTGACCCCGCCTGAGGAATTGGACAACAGCGATGAGGATGTGGTGCAGCACCAGGACCATGCTCGCAGCCGCCCGCCTGC